TTATCTACATATGACATTTATAGACTTATTTTAGAACCATATATCGAAGCTCAATGATTTGTTTTTGAACTGAATTTTTGTGCATGTTCCCAATTTGTATATTTCATTGGTATTCAATGGAATCCATACCTCATCCAAGTTTGTCGTATAAGTTATTACAATCTTTGTATGTTGCTATCAGTTTGATAGATTATCATATACTTATAAAAAGTTGCCAACATGAATTTACTACCTTTTATTTCCAGTGAATTGAAGTAAATGACTCACCGGGCTACTACCACTTTTATTCTAATTTTACATTTTTGGAAGTGTCAAAGTGAATATCTCTAAGTGAAACAAATATATATATATATATATATATATATATATATATATATATATATATATATATATAATAATAATAATAATAATTAAGTTTGAAGTGTATGATTTGAGATATTTGTTTAGCTTAATTTGTGAAATTAATGTTATGAATTTGTGGAGTTAATGCTATGAATTTATAAGAACAACTCATGGTGTTCAATACAGTAACCATTGCATAGTTCTTGATGTTCAATAACATTAATAATATATTCATGAAAATGTTGAGACAAACCATTGAATATTTGCATTGTTTAAGTCGCCTAGATGAGAAATGTAAGACTTATTTGTCAACTAAGTTTATAAATTTTAATTGTATAAATTGTGTAAATCAAAATCAAGCAAGGATAACATCAGAAAACATAATCTATCGAACTGATTTCATCAATTGCATTATATAATATTCGTTGTTATAATTTATATAATTGTATATCGATTCAAATATTCTTAAAATATTATAACAAATCCATTTCATGCAACGCACGGGTGAAAATACTAGTTTTGAATAATATTGATATTATCTAATTTGTTTAATTAGATAATATCAAAAGAGTTTGAACTTATCAAAACTCTTATATCATTCTTCCAAAAGGCTGAACCCCAACCCTAAGGGCCCCCCACACCCCGGCCCGACAGAGCGGTGGGAAGTTGTAAATCATGGTGACTCAACTGAACATTAATCACAGAGGCTAGACCGGTACTCACTGCGCACAAGGAGCCCCCCTCACTTTGAGAGGTTGCTCCCACACTGCCGCTGGTGAGACTCGATCCCTGGTCATTCTTCCAAAGTTTCACCTCTATGACCAGTTGAGCTACCCATGCGGGCAAAAAAAAAAAAAAATTATCATACCGCTATAAATAGGACCTCTTATTTTCATGTATTGATCTTAGAAAAAATTATGTAAACATCTGAAAATATTATTTAGAGAACGCAGTAAAATGATCCTGAAAGTAAAAGCGCATCCTCCATGAACATCATGTCTTTTGATCCAAACCTCTACCTCTATGAAGATCAAGCCACCTCTATTGAAGATCAAACAATTTGAACCCTTTGTAACCTACAGGGTTAATACTTCAATGATGTATAAAAGGAATATATTAGCGACTTGAGCTATATATGCCTTTAACTGCTCTCTTTATACGTTAATCAACCTAGGCGCTTCTGGCACCTAGCTCTGGATCCAGATTGTCATATAATATGAACAATTTTGTAGGCAATTGTATTGTCGACAACTTATAACATTTCCAAGAATTTTTCTCTCATATATATATATATATATATATATATATATATATATATATATATATATATATATATATATATATATAAAAGTAATTTTCGAAGTTAATCAGATTATAGCTATTTCCCAAGGATATTTATATCTGGTTGTTTTGCAACCCAGTCTTATGATTATTTGGTGCACCTATAAATTTACTGATTTTTCTCGTTGTCTGGACGATCGTCTTAAATTATATAACTTTTTAAGATTTTTCAAGAGCTCTAAGATTTTCAAGAGTGACAAAAATTCTTGACTAGATCTAGTTGTTTGTGGATTCTTTATTTTTCTATCACAATGAATCTCCCGCACTTCTGGCGTTAAGGAGTATCGATAGATATCTAAGGTCCAATTTTGGGGAATGTGTATGGGATCTAGTCACTATTTTTTTTTTATGAAATATATTTATTTGACAGATATGTTTGATTTCTTTCTAAACTTCCAGTTCAGTTTAATTGGTATGTGGATTTAATTTTTGAAGATCATTTCATGAAATTTTTCGGCATTTCATTTTAATTTTGATCATATCTCCCCCTAATGTTTTGAACAGATCTTCATGCAGTCAGCATATCCATCGCGTCTCTTTCAGTGGCTTTAAATATTGGAGACAGTAGATGGAGGTTTAGAAGGATACATACACTATGGTGGTTATGTAATAGATTGGACTGCATTCATAAGAATAGAAACGCAGATTTGGAAAATGTTTGTTTGAAAACCACGTATTACTTGTAAGGGAGAATAAGGATATGCAGTGTGCCGAAATTTTTAAACATAAATATTGCATTTCCCCATCAAGTATCCGGCACATTGAAATTTCTAAAAATAATGGTATCCGGGTTGGACTTCCATTTGGAAAGTTGTGAGTTCAAGCCTCATTGGAGGCGTTATTGGTTCTTTGTGTTTCAGTAGGTTGAGAAAGTATATGAACAGATACTACAATGTAATAGGGCCAGTAACATTCAAAAAAAATTAAATGACGTTTGCTATGAAATTTGGCAATTTTTTTGTTTGTAATTGACAACAACATCACATGTGTCTACTAGGTTTAGTATTGTTTTGCTTCAGGCAAGGCAACTTTGTTAGATTCAACATGGCGCTGTTCGTTCAGGTTTTAGCAAAATGCTTCGGGGTGTGACACGCATGTGAGTAGTGCCTTTTACAGCCATACGTGAAACATAACTTGCTGCTAGGCCAAAGTTATGACTTAGTAGTTGTTCTTGACGAGTTGGATCATTTTTTATTTTTATTCTGGTTTCGGGAGTTATTGTTCTTGCCACATTGGCCTTACCTCTTCCCCTTATTCTTCCTCAACTCCTCTTGGTGTTGCACAATTAGGTGACATCGTGTGCTTCGGGCACCAGTGCAGAGCCAACTCAGCATGCATTATAGATTTGCGTCAATAGGTGGTTGTGCTTCTACAATTATGGGAGGAGGGTGGTGTGAAAAAAGAAGACAAGGTCTTGCCAATAAAAACACGTGCCAAAAACATTCTGCTTACACAACTGTGTGGACCATAATTTGCCAAGCATAATAGGATTAAGAATATTATTAAACTTGAAGAGCTCATATATCATAAATAAGTTGTAATACTTTGATGAATAAAATAGGCCTAGAATTTAAAAATAGTCCGAATACTTTAAATAATCCAAATAGACCAAAAAAAAAAAACTAAAGGAAGCCTGGACCTTGCTGAAATGGACCAAACTCAGCCCATATTTATAATTCATCACCTTCTTTATAATTCAATCAATTTCGCACTAAAAATTGACTCCAAGATCACAATAAGCCCAATTAAAATTTTGGTTGCCTGACCCGGTCCAACAAATAGCCCATCAACATATTCTTCATCTTTAATTTAAACAATGAACCTAGCTGGCTTCTTCATTCCCATTCCCCAGCCAACGAAGAAAAAAAAAAGGAGAGGCGATTTGAAAATGGGAAGAGAGAAATGCAACCAGATGGAGAGTACGAGGAGTCGGCCGGAACCGACGACGACGGAGATAGTACCATCATTCGTCGTCATCATCGTCTCCCCCATCCACACCACCGCCACTTTGAAGCAACAGCAACGTCGGCATCTACTGCCGAACACCAAACACCGTAGCCCGCCATCGACAGAGGTCACCGGCGAGCGACTCCAGCCCAGAGTCAAAAAACTCGGTGAACAGGTTTTGGTGATATAGATATATCGCCGGTGACGCCGTCGCCAGAACGCAGATCGGAAAAAAATGGTGGCAGATCGGCAATAAAAGGTTTTGTTTTGAAGGAGAAAAGGAAGCAACGAGCCGGGAAGGCCAGCCTCGTCACCCGTTGTCGCGATGCTCCGCCGTCGGCCGCCTCTCTCCGTCGCCATGCAACGCCAGCCACGCCGCCGGCAGCAGGCCGGCGAACAAGTTGAGTCCAGCGAAGGAGCATAAGTTAAAAAAAATGTTTATGTATATTTCGAAAGAATTTTTCGAAAATTGATGCATACTGAAGATAATTTTATTAAACAAACGGCGCAACCAAGCAGTGACGCCGCTGCCCTCTGCCGGAAACACCGATCGCCATCAGCCGCCGCCAAGCAGTACCACTGCCGCCGGCCGTGGTTTTTTTTATTAAAAAAACTTTCGGTCTTGTCTCGATTTTTCGAAAGACAAAATAAAACGCAGAATGAGTTCTCACTACAAACGAAAAAAAAAAAAATCATATATGCACATAATATCTGGGATATATTTCGCATAATTCTATGCATACTGGAAAAAATTTGATCATACAATCATATCAATAGTTATTGAAAAACGTAAAAATCTTAGAAAATATATCCACAGAACACAGTTATGTTTGTTTTGAATGCTTAATAACAAAAATATTATGTGCATAGAAAACGCATAAAATTACCGTTTACTAGGATAGACTGGTAGAGCACGTATTGTAATTGGTTAGTTGTGCCATTAAGAGTAGAGACAAATTAGATTGTATTCCTAATCTTTTCAACAATCAACCAATCAGTACATTTCATCGACATAATGTAAACAATTGTAACGGAAGACAATAATAGAAACATAAAGAAAATTGGTACACAATAATGTCCATAGTTATTACTATTTATAACAATTAGCCTTTTATTTGTTCTTAGTGCATAGAATTATTTTTAATTCATCATCTGCTGCGAAGAAACCTTGTACTAAATACCTTGGAACCCTTGTGCCACTTCTGGTGCAGTACTGAAAACAATACATCAGTAAACAGACATCTTGAGGGAATCAAGCACAACCAAAAACACATACAATTAAGAAAGAAGCCATAAAAGAATATATATTATATAAATAAATGAATATTATTTGGATAAATAAATTACAAGAAATGCACAAAAAAGGAAAATTTGTTGCCAGCCCGAAATCGGACTTCCTAATTCTTTTACATGTCTTACATTTAGTATGCCTATCAACATTTCATCTGATCTTTTTCTCCCCTACACTACGTGCTTTTAGCAGTAGAACCCTGATTCAAATTTGCTACAACTGTCCTGGGTAAGTCATCAAAGAATTGTTTCTTCTTATATTCTTCATAGTTTCCGGCCAAATAATCAAAGAGAAATCCGGCAGCAAAACCGGCGGCCATGTCAATGGTGTAGTGACCCCTTGTGCTTAGAAGCCTCACAATTTGAAACAAATTCAGCACATGAAATGTGAAGGCCAATCTTGGTCTCTTCACCCGTTGCATATCTTGGGCAGCAATCACAAATGTAGCAACGTGGCCGGAAAAGAACAAGAAAAAGGACGTGTTGCCGACCGGAAAATCAACTTCCGATGCCAAAAAATCCTGCAATCATATCGCGATACCAAATTAAAACACATTAGATCAGCTATTGAACAATTTAATTAATGTTAACGAATTGTAGAACTGAAAAAAGTTAAGGGATGGATATAAGAAGAACTAACGTAACCTGGGGCACAGGTAGCTGAGTGAGGCATCCAAGAATTCCTCGACAGGTGAACATAAATACCGTCGAGATTGCAGCTCTTGGACGACCCTCAATCACCCACGCACATATTATGTACAGCAATAGCACTGCCATAAACACCTACATAGATATATCATAATATTACACAGATACTACATGGATTAGCTCTTTGTGTTTCAGTAGGTTGAGAAAGTATATGAACAGATACTACAATGTAATAGAGCTAGTAACATTCAAAAAAAAAAAAAAAAAAGTTAAAGATCATTTGTTTTCAAAAAAAATAAAAGAAGTTAAAGGTCATTTTAATATCTAACCACTAAAGCAAGTGCGACAAGAAACGAAGTCAAGACAAACAAAACTTAATGATCTGGTTAGGGATTACGATTCTAATCCGATTTACTTCATATGGATTAATTTATTTTTGTTGGTTGATAGTAAGTGGTGGTAAGTTAAAAATTAAAAAAAAAAAAAATCCCTATATACATAGAGGAGGGATTCGGTGAGAATAGGTTCTTTGGCAAAAAAGTGAGGATTGATATAATCTATCTATTTAGATAGATCAATGGTTGATGATTGTTGAAAAATAAAGAAAAAAGATGTGTAACTAGTTTTACAAAGATTAAGGTTGAAATAATTATAAAATTAATTATATTTACATTTGAACCCCCTTATATATATATACACACACTCTAGTAATATTAGAGCTGTTAAAACAAATTAATTAGGTTATTATGTGTTGGCCGGTGATAGACCAATGAAAAACTGCATCATGATGATGAGTTAGTGGGTAAATGCCTAAACGGTTAGCCCGTCAACCCACTTTTCAGAGTTTGATAATTGATAATCAAAATTAAGCATTTAAAAGAATGTAATATATACTAATTAATATTAACATATATTATTAGTTTGGTATATTAAAAATCATTCATCAAGTCTTTAAACAACCACAAAAGGCATCATTACGCACAATGTCAATACTTAATAATTAAGTTGATGATAAATTAAAGCAACTAATCAAGTAAAATACAATAAAAACTGTCATACAAAACCCCCAATAAAAAAATAAAAAAAACCCAATAACAATTTATTTCAACTAACAATTCAGTTATTCATCACTCAAATTTTATATTTATTTTTTTAAAACTTTGTAAAACCGAACAAGTGAATAACCCACGAGTTATACCTTAAATACAACTCAACAAAGCGGATCGGACCCATTTTAATTTGACAGTAATTATTTTTAAATGTTTGCAAAAATTGTAATGCATGTTAATTTTTAAATTCTAAACAAATAAGTTGAATTTTAAAAAAGGACAGCCTAGGTGGTAGATGTAGGAGCATGCAAAAATTACAACAAACTTCAATTCAAATAAAAACATTATATTCTTTAAAATTATGGAGTATTAAAAAAAATGCAACTTAAAGAAGAAGGAAGGATGCATGGGAGTGTACCGTATTGATGGCAGCGAGAAGATGGTTAATGTTGGGGTGAGAAGCAAGCATGCGATTGAGAGGAGCAGTGGCGAGGAAGCCGAAATCCAACGGCGGAGAATCCGACAGGATCATGCGGTGGCTAAACTCCACGTGCATGAAGACAAAAACGGCGACGAAGAAAAAGCACGGTATGGGGTGGCGCTTCACCACACCAAATACATCCCGCGCCCTCCACTCCATGAAAACTGGCGGCCTTCTCATGCCAGCCCATACCGTACTTTGGCTGACGGCGTTGACATGCTCGGAATTCATGTAGCTAGATGGAGCCATGGAGGTGGACGGAGTTTGACTAATTTACGTAAGTATAAACCTAAAGGTAAGAAAAGTTTTTAAGAGTCCGGATCCAACACATTGTTTGGTTGGACGTAATTAAGTCGTAATTGAATTGTAATTCAGCACAACCCACAATTACGCTGTTTGATTGGAGGGAATTGTAATTCCACCAAATTGCAATTCCCTTCAAATGCTGAATTGTAATTCATACTCCTTCCCTTATGAATTACAATTCGACAAATTGAAAGGAGAAGAAAAAATAGGTAAATAACTATTTTACTCTCACTCTTCTTTTGTCCTATCTATTAGCTGTCTTCTTCTTCTATATTATTATTATTATTATTATTATTATTATTATTATTATTATTATTATTATTTATTTATTTATTTTTTATTTGAGGGACTATTTATAGATATCACAATTTTGAAAATGAAAAATGGATTGATAAATTATTGCGTTGACTATTTTTGTTAGATTAATATTTGAATTGATTGGGCTAATTAAAATTAGTAAAATTACTCACTAATACTGGAAGATTATATTATGTACCATTAATACATGTTTATTTTTAATAAACTGAAGGTTCAATTTTTGTGTATTATGCCAAACAATAAACTTTCAAAAAATTAACATTCAATGTATTAAAAATGGACTTATGGACCTTAGGTTAGTGTTCCACCTTACAAAATTAATCATGATTCATGATATAATAATTGAACAATACTTGGCTAGTCTAATTACTGAGATTTGAATCCAAATAATATGGTATAGGGTTAATTAATTATCAAAGCCTAAACTTTAAAGAGCCCAAGGATTGCATGCTGTTTAATTCCTTGAAGACCATAATTTAACCTGAGGAAATAGAAATAGTGCATGTTGAAGTTATACTTATTATTAATACTACTACGTATTATTATTATGTAATTAAATTTAGACAAAATGGTGGTTTGATACAGTTTGAACCATTTCGATATAATAATATGGAGATATTATTATCAAAGAATTTGAAATCCATTTAAGCTCCACTAATAATCTTCACTGATGTAAATATTAATGATTGATCTTCATTTAAAGAATGAAACATCTCATAAATTCATATCAATGATGTACAAAAAAATTTCCCATAATAGACTTTAAAAAATATATAAAATATTTTCCTTTGAAGAAGTAATTTGAATTCATGGAAGTCCTTTTTCAAAAAACAAACTAATATTCAATATATATATAGCCGTTACAATAAAAAATTGGGGTCCTCTGCAGTATGTGAATTTGGACCCCTTTTTTTAAATAATTTCTATATATAAATAATAGTTGTTCAAAGAGTTGTGTCAAAAATTCAAAAAATATATAAAAAATACATCTAAATTTTCATTTAAAAAGTGACATGCGTCGTGCACACTTAGACGCAAAATCAGCCACCAAACTTTTAATATCAACTTTTTTCCAAATCTCATTTTTCAATAGAGATTAAAGCTAATCCATTTAACAAATATCTTAGCTTGTGTAAAATGCTGATGAAAATCTTCTAAAAATTTTATCTTTAGGACCTTTATTTATTGATAAATCTCTTTTAGGACCATTTTTCACAAAGATATATTTTACTTTAGAATCAAGGATATTCCAATTTCTTGGACGATCATATATGTCAAATAAAAGCGAATCATTTGGTTTATCACTGTGACCAACATCATCTAAACAACTATCAACATTCTTATTATTTCCATTGTCACAGTGATACCTATCATTGTTGTGTACAATATCATTTAAATTTTTTCCAATCTCACAATCATCTTGATCTTGTATATGAAGATTAACATCTAACAATTTTTCCTCGACATTATCATTTTTGCTCATCTATTTGAGTTTTTTTTTTTTTTTTTTTTTTTAATGAATTTTTCAAGAGCTCCATTTTGAGATTGAGTTAGTTGCTCAATTCTAATTCTTCTTTTCTTTTTACGCTTCTCAAACTCAAATGAATATTTCCTAAAAGACATAAAATCCTAATGAAAAAATAAAAATTTATTTTTAATTTTTACGAATAAATAATTAATCAAGAAACAAATTCTTGAATATATTATTCTGAAATCATAATTATTATGTCATGTAAATAAAACAATAAACAATAATTGTGAAACAATACGTAATTTAATTATATGGAGAATTGAAGAACTTGGAAGTTTGTATGATAAAAAAAAAATTGAAAAAGCAGTAACACACAAACTGAACCTGTTGTCTTTGTGTCAATTCACTAAATTGTATTGCCTGAAAGACGTGAAACAACAAAGAATAAATTAAAACCGAATTGTGTGCTGCAAACTTGCAATTGCAAAGAATATAATTGAGAATATTCAAATTTAATTGACTTACCTAGTAACTCACAAAGAGCACTACGTACAACACTACTATTGGGAGACGTTGAAACAGCAAATAATAAATTAAAACCAAATTCTGTGCTGCTTGCAAACTTTCAATTGCAAAGAATATAATTGAGAATTTTTCAAATTTACTTGATTTACCTAGTAACTCAACCAACAGTACGTACAACACTATACTGACTATAGCAGTCTTAAATACTCAAATTAATTATTTAAATTTTAAATTAGTTCAGCAACTTCAATTACCTAGGCAATTTAATTTAAGAAAGTGCACCTTGCGTGACTACATACTCTTTTATCTTTCTTTCCAAAAGATAAAGAGTATGCTGTGATTGATGAGAAGAAGAGGGCGAATAAGGAGAAGATGCATCTTGCGTGACTGCTAGGCGTGGATGCTGTGATTTGCAACGTCGACGCCGGACTTCAACCGGAAAGGCGGTCAGCTAGCCTACGTATGTACGGCTTCGTTATTTCCTCGGCCCAAGGTGGGTTCAAGGTCGCAAGAAATGGCCCACTGCAATGCATCCGGCAAATTATACTGTAGACCGCGATCCACAATGTATTATAGTTCAGACATTAAAACAGTGTCGTATCTATGAAAAGAAACATGCACCTATTCCGTGCCGTCCGCAAAAAGTAACTTTGGTTAATAACATATTCAGTTTCATTTTGTATACATTGCAGTTTCATTTCTACATAACTACATTTTCATTTCGATATAACTACAGTTCAATTCGATATTATACACTCAAATATGTGAAAGTATTATTCAATTTCATTTTATATACACTATAGTTTTATTACAACACAACTACATTATCGTTTCGATATAACTACAGTTTCATTGCACAATATACACTCAACTATGTAAAATGTTATTCAGTTTCATTTTATATACATTGCAGATTCATTTCAACAAAACTACAATATCATTTTGATATGTTTCGCTGGACAATATACACTTAAATATGTGAAATTACTATTCAGTTTCATTTTATATACACTGCAGTTTCATTTCAACACAACTACAGTTTTATTCCAATTCAATTGCAGTTTCATTTGAAAATATAAAAATAATACGTGAGGCAGTGTCAATTTAGATACACTGTAGTTTCATTTGGTAATTAACACACAAAAAATACGTGTTCCGTTAAGCTATAACGGCTATCGTTTCTTTACTTAAAGAAACAACGACGTTTTTGGACCATGGTCCGCGATATAATTGCTAAATGCATCCTAGATAGTATTGAAATTGTTAATTTCTAGAATATAAATTGTGTTTCTAATTTTAGAAATTTGTAAATATAAATTTTTCAAAAAAATAAATTGTGAATATTTAGTATTTAAATTGTGTATCTTTGGATTTGGGTCAACAGAATAATTTGTCCATGCATCCAATTCAAGACCCTCTTATGGCGAAAGCATTAGCAATTTGAGAGGCGCTTGCGTAGATCAAACAGCTTGACTACTCACACATTAGAGCGTGTTTTATTTGTGTAATTGGTGCATTATTAACCTTACTCTAGTGTATTTGTAGATTCTCATTGGTGCCAAGTTCAGGTGCGGCAACGCTTTCCCGTGTGGTCAGTGCGGCCGCACCAATTGTTATACAAATATACACAATCCATGTTATGAAATGCACCAATTGGGTACACATCACTAAAAATGCGCCATTAGATATGAATAAATACACCATACAGTGTTCGGGAATACACTATTGGTGTGTTTCACTGTGGTGTGTTTTATTACACTATTGGTGCATGTTGTCAACACTATTGGTGTATTCAGGAACCCGGCCGCTATAAATGGCCACTATAATTACTATAACACCACCACGCGCGAAAATCCTCAAAATTAGCCACTACTGTTAGATTAAACTGATTCAACGACACAGATACGACCACACCGCCACACCTAATAACATGACCACATATGAACGCTCTTATATATATATATATATATATATATATATATATATATATATATATATATATATATATATATATAATAAAGTTCAAATTCATTAAATAAAAAAAATAAATCAAATAATTAAAGTCACTATTTTCTTTTTATCTTATTTCTTTTATCAAGATTTTAATAATGGAGGTCATCAATTATCCATTTTAATTTAAAAATTCTCCAAACGTGAGATATATGCTTTAGTTTTATTAGTTATGTTGACTAATTAATTAGTAATTTATTGTGTGTTTTAATTATTTATTTATACTTTGAATATGTACATTTGCTAGTTTAAATGATTAGTTTTGAAATTGACAAAAATTAATATTGATTATTTAATTCGCGATCTTGATTTTGACATTTATTTTTTAAATTTTGAAATATTCAATTAATCAGTAAAATGAATATCAATTAATTATGAAAAAAATTGGTGACAAAATAATTGACAAAATTTTTTATTTGATAAAAATTGACAATCTATATTTAAATAAGAGTAAATATCCAAAATGGTCCCTCGACTATAGCTAAATTCACAAATTAGTCCTTGACTTTTAATTTCACCCAATTAAGTCCTTAACTTTGCAATTTTGACACGATTTGGTCCTCCATCTATTTGACCGTTTGTTGACCGTGATCGACGATCTCCAGAAGAACCTTCAGCTCTCGTCGGAGCACGTGGAGGCCTCAGGATGATGTTGCACTGGTTCGGAAACACGCCGTCTTCTTCACTCTGGTACGAACTCAACTACATTGAATCCAAAGGGAGGATGAAGAAAGGCGACCGGATTTGGTAGATTGCTTTCGGAAGTGGATTCAAATGTAACAGTGCGGTCTGGAAATGCAACCAGAACCTTAAAAAACCGACGATGGACCATGAAATTACATATATACCCTCAAAAATCACAGTCAACAAATGGTCAAATAGATGGAGGACCAAATCGTGTCAAAATTGCAAAGTTAAGGACTTAATTGGTTGAAATTGAAAGTCGAGGACCAATTTGTGAATTTAACTATAGTCGAGGGACCATTTTGGGTATTTACTAGGGATGGCAATGGGGCGGGGCGGGGGATACCCCCGCCCCCGCAATCCCACCCCACTCCCCACCCGCACCCGCACCCGCACCCGCGCGGGTAATGAATTTCGTTCCCATACCCGCCCCCGTGGGGATTTTGCGGGTGCGGGGAATACCCGTGGGGATTTTGCATGTAACATTAGCTTAGTCTCATTAATAATATGAAACTTACATCTAATAAAATTTTTATTACTATAATTTATAATATTAATGCATCAAAGTCTTCACCAAATAACTACCAACTTGAATATTACATTTGCTTCCAACTTCAACATTAGTGTATAAAATCTTAGCCACTAGCACCAAAAAATAATTAGTAGTTGTAATATTAGTGAGTTAAGACCTTCCCTTACTACCCAAAAATCTAAGAGATTAAATAAATAACACAATACATACATACATACATATATATATATATATATATATATATATATATATATATATATATATATATATATATATATATATATACATGCGGGGGCGGGAATACCTCTCCCCGCACCCGCCCCCATACCCGCGCGGGTTTAAAACTTTTCCCCCATACCCGGACCCATTACCTAAATTATGCGGGTATTTTATTACCCATTGAGGCGGGGATGCGGGTAACCCGTTGGGTGCGAGTAGAATTGTCATTCCTAGTATTTACTCTTTAAATAAATGGTGTTATTATTATTATTATTATTATTATTATTATTATTATTATTATTATTATTATTATGTGAGAAAATTCTAAAGAAATAATCATAATAATGTATGATATATATAATAATATGGTACAATTAATTATAATGTTGATTAATATTGTAAATTTTTTCTACTATATTATCCCCTCCAACTTGAGTTTTCTGGCTCCATGTGTATGTTCTAGTTTATTAAAACATTATGTTGATCATTCTTATGTAGGCTCTATTATGCATGAGTGTCCTAGTCCCGTTTCTTCTATTGTAGATCGCTAGGTTTAGTATTTACACAAATATCAGAATCAAGCTGCTCACTCACTTGCTAAGGTTGATGGAGCTTGGTTGTCTCACTTTGAGTGGTCTGATTCCCACCATACTTTTTGACTGCATTACTTTAATAATATTTCCGTGTTATTTTGCTTTCAAAAAAATTAATTTTTTTTTTCAAGTTAATTAAGTTCATTTTTTTTTATATACAAACATTAATATATAAAAGATATCATTAAAAAGTTCTAATTAAAATCTTTTAAATAACACTCATATTGATATTTTTATTTTAATATATGTTTTTATATTATATTTATTTTTAATATAATATTGGTTCATTTTCAAAATATTGTAGGTTGATTGTTTATAATACAACACAATACTTTTTTTGCAAACCTTACTTCAAGACATGGTTCTAAATGTGGTGTCATGTTTTAAGTGAACTTTATGAGTATAATAAAAAAGGCATGCGGATAGGCAAAGAGAACTGAAGTTGTTTAAGGTGTCTAATTTGAATTTCGGTGGAGGCTATTTTTGATCAATTTGATTTTAAGCTGTAGGAATTTTTATTTGAAAAATAATTCCTCAAATAAATAGGTTTGATAATATTTTGGAATTGATTAAACCAAGGTTTATACCATGAGCAATTTTCTAAAACACTGATTTGACACGTAAGTGTCCATAATACAATGATTTACAACAAAATATTTGAGCACTGTAGCCAAATATTTCAAATGGAAAACTAAAAGAAAGGATACTTGACGATACGTATTACACAATTAAGAACTCCATAATTAGTTATAGTTAAAGACATTTTGGGGTGGTTTACTTCATTTCTCCAGTTTTTCTTCTCCTCCTCCAGTTTTCTGTTTTTCCATTCCTCCATTTTTCATTTCTCTAAACAATATGATCTTCTTAAAAATAATTTTATAATTTGTTTCGTATAAGTCCGCAACTTAGGCACCATCGTTCCGCATCAGTCCGCAACTTAGGCACCATCGTTCCGCATCAGTCCGCAACTTAGGCACCATCGTTCTGCATCAGTCCGCAACTTAGGCACCATCGTTCCGTATCAGTCC